AGAACCAAAGAAGTTGGTCAACGAATTATGTTCAAGGTCAAACTAAGCATGCATCATGATGGAGAAAGACTTTTGAATGATACTGCTTGGGAGTGAGAAGTGAAGAAAATGAGGCAGAAAATTGAGAAAATAATCCAGCAGATCCAGCAATAAAAATCCAACAAATGAAAGTCCAGCAAATGAAGAAGACACTGACGATTATCAGTGATTTAAAAAACGTTAGGCGCTAAAAGGCGCTAAGGTTCCAAAACACCCGAGGCGCTAGGTGCTCGCCAAGGTTCTAGACCGGACTCAGATTGATTGCTCAAGGCCTTTGGTATGAGATATATGCTGAACAGTTCACATTCCCTGATGCAACACATACCAAGAACCAAAGAAATCGGCAAAGCTACCTTTTTCTTTGATTTTTGTATTATTGCGTTGGCGACCTGAACATGTATTTAATTACTATAGCTTTAGTCACTGTAGCTTGGTTACCGTAGCTACACGTGGCTTTCATCAATCATTTCTTAATCAATCAATGGTCGTGCAATTTCTTGTAGTTCATCATGAAATTGGTCCAAGTTTTCTAAATAATCGTCAATGATTTCAAAAGGCACTTGGGCGTTCGCCTAGGCGCTCAGGCGAGGCGAGGCGAGGCGAGGCCCGAGCGTCTCGTTTACCATCCAAGCGGCGTACTTCAAAGAGGCGCTGCCTGGGCGCTCGCCCGAGCCCAGACGTCGAGCACTTCGGGCGAGCGCTCGAGTCAAATCAACTAAAGCATCGATATCAGCCTCTCTCCGCGGCCCCTTGCGACTTCCCCAACCCTAACCTGACTCCCACCGTTGACATTTTCTTTTTGCTGCCGCTACCGCTATCGTTACTTTCCGCTATCGCTACTCTCCGCTTTGCCTCTCTCCGCTGCTGTTGTCGCTACTCTCTGTTATCGCTATCACTGTCACTACTCACCGCTGCCACTGCCATTATCGCTGCTCGCTGCTGCCACTATCACTGCTAGTTTAGAAATAGTACTAAAGCGTATAAACATCAGAAATCTCTGGTTCCATTGCTTGATTGAACCAGTTCTAGGATTTATATATTTTGCATTTTTACAAGTTTTTGTGGATCTGAGGTTTAGGGTATTAAAAGAATCCTTTTAGGGTTATACTTACCAATGATGATCGGCATAATCGAAAGAACTGGTTATCAAATTCTTTTTTCTTTTTTAGCAACTCTAGTATGTCACCTTGATGGGTTCTCATTTATAGGGTTTTGAATATCGGTCCGTACCGGCGTACCAAGCTCTGCTTGGTATGATACGTACGTACACCCTAAAATCTTAAAAATATCTTCATCTATCGTGTCAAGGCATACCGACTGGTACACCTCGGTAACGATCGAAATTTGGGGCAGTACTGGTCGGTATCATCTCAGTCAAGGTTCGCCATACCGTATCGTACCGAAGTTTCGACCCGGGCTCGGTACGGTACGGTACCGGTGTATCGGGCGGTACATCATGGCGTACCGAGCGGTACACCCTGGTGTATCGATAATTTTATATTATTTTTATACTGTAGCAGTGCTACAGCATAGTACTGTAGCACTATAGCGGTCCCGGACGGTTCGCGTACCGATAACCTGTCGGACCGGTACATACCGCTCGGTACGGGCGGTATGCTTCGGTATGGCAGACCCTGATCTCAGTATCGATTAAAACATTGGTACCATCCGATAGAGGGTAGTTCGTGTATCGGTATCCTCTCGGATCGATACATACCACCCTTACTGGGTAGTGCACATCGAAATTGAGAACCCTGGTCATTTATCACATACATTTAGTATTTGATGAATGTGCATATTTGTTCTCCTACCTATATTCAAGCCTACATAAGCAACTTGTTGCATATTGTGCAAAGGTAGAATCTTGGTTGCTTTATCTTGCACTTTGCATTGACTTTATTCGTTTCTCCCATAATTTCACTTTCGTGGTAGACACTATTTCATTTTGATTAAGATTTATATGTAAATTTTGTTTATGGAGTTTGTATGGTCATCTACCAATGTTGTATTCTTCTGCTTTTAGGTTATGAGTGTACAGATAGGTTTTGAAATTCCTTGATAACAACAAACTCTATGTGGAATTGACTTTACCTTTTTTCTAAAATGTTCAAGAGTAAATATGGAGAAGGTACTCTTTTTGTTCATGTTTTTTCTTTATTTTTTTGAGTCATCTACGTTACTATATCTGCAGGTGAAAACATGGGCTGGGCTTCTGAATGCTTTCTGTACTAGTGGGAAACTGGAACTAGAACTGATGTACAAGGTCCAAATCCAGTGCTATGAGGATGCCAAACTGTTGAAATTATTTCCAGAAATTATAAGGTCCCTTTATGAACTAGATGTACTTGCTGAGGATACAATTCTTCTTTGGTTTCGGAAAGGTGCAAATCCGAAGGGCAGGTACATGATTCTTCTTTTTTCCTTCTTTAGTTATTTGGTCCAAATTATGCTTGTTGAAGTCAATAATATGGATACAGTTGTTCTCAATGTGTTGTCAGTATTTAAATGTCTTGGATACTATTCCTTGTTAGTCATTTTTGACTTTGTGAAATATAGTGAATGCTTGAATACTTTCTGGGTAGCTGTTCTAATGGCTGGACCTATTGTCACTGAAAAAAGTGATGATTGATTCTAGAAATTTTTTATTTACCGTTAATTGCTATGGAGCTTGTGACTACTGCCACAATATTTTGACTGATATCAGTTTCCTGTTGCACATAATGCTAGAAGATCTTTGTCGTGTGAGGAATATCTTCTTTCCTGTTTCATAAAATTAGGGATTCTTGTGAGACTCCTCTGTCATTGTCTAGGATCCAACTACAAAAAGAAATGGATACTTGTTAACATTTTTATGCCCATCCTTGCCTTAGACTGCCCTACTTTGCCGATAATAATTCAGTACCCACCATTGCAGTTGCAGTAAATTCTTTGGTGCTTAGCCTGAATGCTCGGGAAATCACAACAAAAATGACTTGACTGCCACCTATTGTCTAGGTTGTAATGTTTACAAAATATATTTGAGCTGATTTCCTTTTAGTCTTATACTTTCTCCTTTCATGGACTCACGTTCATTCACTCATAAAAAAAAACAAGAGACTAGCTTTCTGTTGTGCTTGGAAACAAACTGCAAATGCCTTGGAATTGGAAGTTACTTAGAAATGAGAAGTATTGTAATTTTTTTTTGTTAGAATGGGGTGGGTAGCTTCTATGGAATACAGTTAAAAGAGTTTTCTTTCAGCTGTGGCATATACTGATCAATGTTATATTTGACTTATGTTAAGTTTGGTTGCCATATCGGTGACATAATTACTTAAAAATTGATAAGAGAAGAGGCTTAGGTTCTCTGCTAGTCATGCAACCTGGCCAGCCTTTCAACCCATGGAATTGCGTTTGCAGCATAAACTGAGGTGAATTTGTTGGTGTCTGTTTCTCAGTAGAGTGTGGAAGAATGGTTAAGTTATTTGTTTTCTGATATAACATATATATAACTATAGAGAGTGTCAGGTTAGTGTCGGATTGCTCGACACACTCGTGCTTAACCAAATTTGAATTCAGCTTGGGCTGATACGTCTCAGCCAATTCTCAACTGCAGTTCCTGTTATTGCCTTGATTGCAATGAGAATGTCACCCAGAATGTTTTCCCAATTAGTCCCATTTCACTAAGATTATATGTTTAGCTATTACGATCTTTCTTGAAAGAAATGCTGTCTTTACTTTATGAACAATATTTACTTTAACCGTAAACATTCTTTAGCCAGACCATTTACTAAGCCTGTAATATTTGCAGGCAAACTTTCGTAAAAGCCCTGGAGCCGTTTGTTAACTGGCTTGAGGAAGCCGAAGAGGAAGAATGAAATGGTGGAAGCTGCATCGAATGTTGCTTGAAACTGACTAGTAATTTTTATTTACATATTTCTCCATACAAGTAAATCATAATCGATGCATCAAATGCTGCTTGATATCGACTAGTAACTGTTATTTGCATGTTTCACCATGTACGAGTAAACCATAATCTGTGTGCAAACATCTATGTTAAAGATGTTAAAAATCTATTCCATCTTGTTATGTGCTGATATTTCCAATCATGATCTGTTGATTTTGGAAAGCAAAATATATGTTGTGCATCTCTCAGTTGCACTCTTCGAGATCATACTTCCTTTGCTATTAGTGCAGCTACCACCGGTCTTCATCGTACTCGATCGAGGTTTGTGAAAATGCTGCTCATCTTATGAATCCGGTCGTCGTCGTTTGCTGTCCAAAATGCATAACAGGGTGATGCAAGGGGTGAATCGTCAGCTTGCGGGGCTTCACCAGAATCTGCTGACACGAGATGTTGATGCAGAGTACGTCTCAGCGAGCATCTCTCTCTGTCTCGACATGCATCATCTCTTGGTAAACGTATAATATGACGTCTTTTCCTGTTTCAAGTGCCTTTTTGTTTTGGTTGAATTCCAGATCTTGTTGCCTTTTGACCCTACCAACGTCCAAACCTCATTTGACTGCAATTGGTCGCTCAATTATTTAATTTACTCATCCCAGTCCACAATTAATTATCTTTAATATTTCAGATCTCTATATTTTTAAAAATTATATTAAGATTTTTATATTTATAAAAATAAAATATTAAGATTCAAAATTAAAAAAATAATTTCATAAGATTAAAAATATGAGATTTTATTAATATAGAGATTTAAATATATATTAAAGGTAACTAATATATATTTAGTGATTTGATTTACCTAAGAGATACCTGACGTGCTAACAGTTGCCCCTTCAATCTGTTGAGAATTGATTCATAGTAGTTATCTAGGTCTACCTAGATAACTATTATATCATGATAACTACTTAGATAACTATCATGATCATACGAATAAATAATGGATGAACCTGACAACACCTTAGACACTATCATCACTTTCTTCATTCATTCTAATAATGGGGCTGAATCAGCTTCCATATGCTAGTTAATAAACTTCACATTACTTCTATCATTGTTCACAGAACAGAAGCATTAAATATGATCCAAGCCACAAATGATATCTGGACTCTTAAAACTTCAATTTGCTCACAATAGACGGAAAGAAAGAAAAAAAAAAGATAAAAACAAAGCAAAGCAGGATTAGATTTCTTGATACCAGAGTCTCGTGAGGCCACCTGGGCTTCCTTTAGGTCAACTTATGAATAGTTTCCATATCGGCAGTCTCCTGAAGAGTACCCATTTCGACATGGTCCCACCATTTCGGCAGGAAGTTATCGACCACCAATCTGAACCAGGGGGACAGCTTTATGTCATCTTCTCCGGCATCTGCTTTTCTCAGCAGTTCTTTCAACTGATCCCGATTAACATATTTCACATCAGCAACTTCGTCAGGGTTTGGATGCAAATTTACATCTCGGACAATGAAGAGGAGATAATCAACTGCAGTGGAGACTATAGACAGTAAGAAAAAGTTATGACCACTATCTATAAAGAAGCAGTAAGCACGAAGGACGTACGCTCATGTTCACCCCATTTCCCATCAGACGCGGCCTTGTAAAGTATACGTCCAAGTGGAATAAACTCATCCACAGGTAAATCTTCAGGAGGTATGCCTAGTTCATCCAATAGCTTCCTCTGTGCAGCATTCCTTACTCCTGGATAATTAACACATAGAAATAAGACTTAATGTGCTTTATGAGTTCCAAAAGTTAGAAAACACCACATTTCCTATATTGAGTTTCAGATCAACCAAGGAAGTTCTCTTCTATCAGCTCAGAATCACGATAAAGAGGATGACTGCAACAGGTATTTGTCCAGACCAAAGGAAAAGTAACCTTTGTTGCAGACCTTTGCTGTCAAAAAGTAAAGACATGGTCAAGCATAAATAATTCCCAAGCAAACACCCTAAAACGATACAATCAGCCAGTTGTCAACAAGCCACGGAGACAATATTATGATGAACTACTGCTTTCCAACCTGCCCCTCTAAATATTCTGCTTGTTGAAGCATACAATAATCAAACACCCTGCCAGAACACACACGCACACACACACTGCTGCTTTCCAACAAGCCACGGAGACAATATTATGATGAACTACTGCTTTCCAACCTGCCCCTCTAAATATTCTGCTTGTTGAAGCATACAATAATCAAACACCTTGCCAGAACACACACACACACACACACGATATTATGATGAACTACTGCTTTCCAACCTATCCCTCTAAATATTCTTTTTGTTGAAGCAGACACACACACACACACACACACACACACGATATTATGATGAACTACTGCTTTCCAACCTATCCCTCTAAATATTCTTTTTGTTGAAGCAGACAATAATCAAACATGTATGTATGTACATGAGGAAATTGCAAGGGCTTGGGATACTTGATAAATTCCAAAAGCTACTAGGACTCAGATGAGAAACATCGACATACATTTGATATAGGACAAAGCATCTATAAGAATCATATAAAGTTAGCAGTCTAACAAAGCTTGGTCTGGCACTTCAGATTGCTCATTGGCTGTAATATAAATAATTATTATTTTATGCATATTCAAATAATGCATTTAAAGAGCAGCACATATACCTGAAGTAGCAACTCAAACTTTGAGTTAACCAGGAAAACACTAAATGCCCTATGAAGCAGATTCTCAGATTCTATTTTTTCCATCAAATGACCTGCATAAAAATCGCAGCCATCTAATATCTGTCAAAGAGTGAAAAACGAACGATATTCTTTAAGAAGCAATATCTAAGACACCATGATCAATAATGACAGTAGCTAAATATATCACTTAAATCCTTAACTTTAATCCATTAGGACGTTCAGCCAAGCTAAAAAAAAGCAAAGTACAGAATGTAAACTCTCCCTAACACTATAGGATATAAGTAAATATGATTATAAACTTGTCCCATTTGCTTTGGCCATTATTTTATATTGCTTTCATGTAATCACATTAATTATTAACAGAAAAGAAAGGCTTCTACAGTCTAGTGAAAGACTTCACTTTTAGCTAATACAATGACCAAGAGATGCAATAACAATTAAGTTGAAAGGGGAACTTACTTGCTGAGATATAGATCTAAAAAAATATAGGTACAACCCACCAATACACCCCGACCTCCACCCTCCCCTCCACACAGCATTCTCTCTTTCCACACAAATATACAGAGAGAGAACCACCGAGGCAACTATCCTCTCTTCGCTATTCTAGAGGTGTCACTACAAGGAAATAGAACTACAAACGCAAAAAAGAACCTTGTAAATTTATTTTATATCACAATCGAGGTTTCAAATATTGACCTACCAACCAGTACGGATTGGTTTTTATCGGTCTGACCAAGTGTTGTCATAGAAACATATAGCTTGATATCAACATTAATTTATTTTATTTGATGATATCAGGCATTGGGTCAGTATACCACATGATATACCAGTATCATGTTGGTCCTGTAGATTATTGAAACTGGATCGAGATTTAAATGTTGGACAACACTAGATTCATTTATGGGTTTAAGTACACAAGCTAACATGTCCTTAAAAATGTCAAAGGTAATTGCAAAAGGATAATGGTTTAAATTTGGGATATAAAGGGAGCTAAAGATCTAGGGAAGTTACCCTTTGAAAGCACATTGATTTGTGATAAAACAATTCCAACAATGAAAATACAGGTAGTGCAAAGTTTAGATCAAAACCAGAACTTTAGAAAAAGAGAAACGAATGTTGATCTAGACACTTCAAGAATAGTTCTAGTTGGCTGTTGAGGTTGCTCCACTTGCCTCCAATGTAAAAGCTGTTGCCATCAGTCACAAAATATCCAGCAGTTTGGGGCATTGATGTGTTGTTTAAAGGAAGAAAAATGTTGGACAGCAAGAATATCGTGTGGATCGTTAGCTACAGTGCTTGCAGCTTGCCAAATCTAGGAGAAAATCAAGGTTAAGGGTTGGAAAATGTACAAATGGCATCTTGCATAATGCTGGAATGAGAAAGAAGGTATAGCGAAGAGGAAACTTTGAAAATGGATGATCATTAGACCTATTCCAGATCCTCCGAATTCAATCCAAGGAAGAATGACTAAAAACCACTCACACATAATGTTGGAGAAGAGACATCTTCGTTCATTTAACTATGCCTTTGGTTACATTGATTCCCTAGATTAATTTGCTTCTTGAAGGATAAGAAGAGAAGCAAACAAAGGAAATAGGAAAGTACATTTAAGGAAATCTTGAGCCGAGTTCGACAATCACCCATCTTTCTTCTTTCTGGAGGTGGTTTATTCCAAATTCATTTGGACTATAAACTTGATTTACATATCTTGATTTACATTAATTTCATTAGATAGATCATCACTCAAGCTCATTCTTCCTAATCTTCCACTATTAGTTAATTCCTTCTTTGCTTCTTTGACGATCTTTGTAGGTCGGGTAGAGACATTTTACAATTCCAAACTAACAAAAAAAATTCTAATAGTGACAGAAAATCAAATGACAAACAAAAAATAAATTCAACCTAAAATTTGCAGTACTTACAATTGTACTTGGAATCATGCCCGATAACATTGTCATGCTCATCTACCAAGATACACCTGCAAGCCATCAGTACTAATTTAACGGTTCTAGAAGGGTAAAATCAACAAGAAAATTACTGGGAAGAGTATCTCAAGAGATCATAAAGCTCAACCATTAAAAACATAGTTCACATTTCTTACTTCAGAGTTTGTAACCAAATATAGAACAACAATTAAGGCATAAGCCTACTGTCGACTAAGTGGTAAAATATAAGTCGATATGTTCAAAATAGAAATTTTAATAGCAGCCTAAGTGCAAATATAGTTGTAGAAATTTTCACAGAATCATTTATCACTCAAATAGACAACTTTGATGTTGCAATGCATACTAACCACTTCCACTTGAATGCATACCGGAAGATAAGAAGGCACCCTTACAAGAGAAGGAAATCTCACCGAGTTGAGATTTTCATCAAAATTTAAAGAGGGAATAAAGGGAAAAAAAAAAGGGAACACTCGAATCTTAGTGATGAAAAGAATTAGGTAAACGAATCGCGGAGTTCTGCAACAGACAAAGGCATGGCCGACAACATTATCAGAAAGATTCATGAATCTAAACGTCAAGAAACCAAAACAAAGACAGAACAAGAAGGGGATCGAGATCTCACTCGTCCTCGAACATGAGGCGCCTCTGGACGGCGTTCATGTCAGCGTCGGCGACCGCGCCACCATCGGTCGGCATGGAGACGGCCTCGTCGGTGCGGGAGGAGGAAAGGGTTCTGGCGAGAGACCGTCGTGAGAGGAGCGGGAGGAAAAGGGGCGGCGTGACGGTGGTGGTGGGTGCTGCTACGGAACCAAACGGGCGGGCGATGGGCCCTCCTCTGCCCCCAACCACCGCCACCACTCGGCATCGGACGGTGGAGATCGCGCGGGGCAGCGAGGCGGATAGCGACATCGGCATCGGTTCTCTCTTTTCCTCTCTCTCCCTCTCACGCACACGATAAAGAAAGTACGATTATTCCCAATTCCCATTTCCTCTTTCTTTCCGCACACGGAAAAGTAAGTACGATTATTCCCGTTACCATTTCCTTTTTCTTTATGCACACTGAAAATTAAGTACGATAATTCCCATTCGTGTTTCTTTCATCGTCTTTTTGGCGTTGTTTTTTTTCAAATAATTAAGGAATTTTTTAGGCTATTTTATAAGCTTATTTTAAATTCTTTTAATTATCCTAATGAACATAAGTATCATCTTTCTTTTCTTCCTTTTCTTTCCACATTCTTTTCCTTTTGTTTATCTCCTCCCTTTCTTCTTCCTCCTCTGACATCGAACAGCATTGATAATATTGGTGAGCAACGCCGATGACGAGAATAAAAATAGGGAAAGACAAAAAAGATATAAAGATAAAATTGATAATATTAAATAATAAAAATAAAAATATTTTATTATATTTTTAAGGAATTATTAATAGCGAGAGATTGTTAATACTAAAATGAGATTGTAATACTAAACTTTAATTTTATTAGTGATTTTCTTTACTATTTATAATCTCATTTAGATGTAAATATTCTCGATTTATCATTTAATTCTAACAAACTTTTTTAATTCTTTTCATATCCTTTTTCTTTCCTCGTTTTTTTTTTTTTGAGATAGTTGAAACAACGTTGACATATAGCTAAAGTTGTATGAAGTAACGGTGATTGAGTGGTTATAGGAAATAAGAGTATGATTGATAATTCGTAGTTTATATCATAATTAAAAATAAAAGATAAAATTACATACAAATCACCTTAATTCATGTTATATATAATTAAATAATTCTATAAAACCTAAAAACTAATGCCTTATATGTTATATTATTCTAACTGTTTCTCCTAAGCTAAAAGCTCATTATGATAGCATAATTCAGTTATATTATATCTTTGTAATATACATTTATCAAATTATTTGTGACGTATAATTAGAAGTGATCCAAATTCATTGACCTGTCAGCATTTCTTTACGTAGATCCAAATCACAACTTCAACAAGTCATATTAAATAGATAGAATTTGACCTAATTGTTCTGTTGCAAAGATTGCCGTCGTCGTCAACTCGACTGCTTCGATTCAGTTGACCAAAGACATCCTCCCGCTTCCATAGGTTGTCGTTCTCTACCACCCGTCGCCATTAATATGCCGCTCTTCTTGGAACTTCTGTTCCCCTGTAGATGCCTGAAACCGAACTTACGATCCACTTAGCACCGCTAGTAAAAAGGCTTTGCTGTTACAGGTAGTGACAGTCTGCTCTACGAAATTTCTCTTATGAAGCAAACGGCATACGACGCTCTACAAAGCTGCCATTTAACTAATTGAATAACAGGAAAAATAATCGAAGCACATGATCCACTTATAACTTCAACTTGAGGTGAGACCATTAATACTCCGAGTTTGCAAACGATAAATATTTATATGGGCAGTTGGTTTTGTGAGCAACACATCCAAAATCATCATCAGAAAAAAATCACGACTAACAATAATTTAATTAGATGTAAGAAAGTCAATTGAAGCTTGCTAAATGAAACAAAAAGAAGTAATAAAAATGATATGGAATATAAAGAATTCAACATTACTGATTGGTTTCCTGTTGCAAACTTTGCAGATTGCTGGGGGGAAAAATTTCTTGTAGGGAACTCATAAATTTAGATTTATCACAAGTGTAGGAAACTGCAGCCAACCAGAGACCATTCTTTTCAACTTCTGTCTGAGCAAAGGCAAAATTCTGCTGTTGGCTCTGATGGCATTTTACCAACAGATGTGAGCTTGTGGTTTCTGACTGCATCACATACTCGATAGAGGTCATGTCATATTATGTGTTGGCACGCTTAGGTAAAATTTAGTATTCTTGAAGTCGTCAAGAAGTGGATTGTATCCATCCCTCGTCCTTGTCTTTGATGGCAAACCAAACTCATCCATGAAAGCAGCTGTGTCAAGCTACACGAAATGTGCATAATTGATTAAATGTTTAGTTATTTTATTGATCCGAAGTGAAAATGGTAAAAAGTGTTTCTTAATACACGATACTGAAGTTGTTCCAAAGTTTTTTTTTTAAGCGATAAATAACAATGAGTAGTCAAATCATTACAATGACAATTAAAGAGCATGCTGTCATTATAGGTTAAAACTACTTGCATGGACAGAGAAAACCAGATTCAGATGCATATACTGGTGCTTTAACTGGAAAGAAAAAGAGAAACTATGCAACACGCATGAGAGGTAATTTTCTAGTACTGTAAGTCATATCAAGATGTATGGTGAGAATTGAATATAATAAACATTTCTTGCTGTTGGTGAGAATTCAAAATTGTTAATGAACTTCTTTCAGGATAGGTTTTTATGAACTTGATAAGCTCTAAATAACAAGATAAATTCTAGCATCATTATGATGACTAGCATTACTTGTCAGAATAACTTAAGGCAATATCAGTGTCTGATGCATATCGAAGCTCCCAATGCCTGTTCCACAGAGACCAACATGATAAAGGAAGAGTCCAGTCATAACAAGTTGAAATTATTCCCTCTTCTAGCAATTGAATGTCTAGAGAAAGCATATAAAAATATTTCTTCTTAATGATGTTACTGGTAGTCATGATACTAAGAAATTATCTGCTATATTTTATTAATTACCTTGATGCTACTCTTACCAAATCTTTATTGTACCAGGACATGTTGGTCAGGACAATATGCCCTTAAAACACAAATTAAGATAACACTAAAATGCTAAATGTCCAATAAACCGGTACATTGGTATGGTCCTTACACACTGGTATTTGAAAGCATGGAAATGATAACATAGTTTAACATGTGACCTGAACCATACTTGGACCCTTCTTGGTTTGATCAATTTGACATTTGCACTTTGCATACCATTTCAAACCTGGTTTGTCCAAATTCCCAAATTCAAACCAATGATATATCTAGAAGACTAGAACTAGACAATTGTCTAAACCCGGATCTCAAACAAAAGAGCCTATATGTAAACCTGAATTTTCAGGTCACACCAGGTTAGATGGAGGAATATTTGCCATCAACAACAGAAAAAGATGGCAAGCCATGATGCCCTAAATATGGGTAGACCACACAAGTCTTTTCCCACCATTCAAATCTCTGTACACGGATGAAAAATTGTCATCCCTAAAACTAATTTGGGTACAAGTATCTTAGAAGAAGGATTATATTGTCACTTAAAATAATATCATCATCTGGCAGTCGATCGTGATTTGCATGGACATGAAAATGATCCACCATATTTAAAACAAGCGTATGTCTAGTGCAACTAAAGTTAGCCAAACAACAGACATTGAAAACCACTAGCAGTATCAGAAGTCATTCAACCAAAAACAGAATAGGCACAACTTACTATGATTGTTCTCCTCTTTTTCACTGACTTCAATGAATTGGAAGTTTTCAGTTCATTTGACCAGCCAGAGCAGTAATGATCGATTCTCTCTAAGAGCCAGAAGTCTGTTGGAAAGAATATATCAGCATCACCCTGACAAGATATCTTTCACATTAGGTCATGCGGAAATGGAATTTAATGCTTTAAAATTATAAAAATATCTGAAAGAACACAAAAACATGAATTGCATTATGCTCACTCTCTGAACACAAAAGAAGGTTATATGGAATGGCTTAGTGATCAGTGTTGCAACTCCACTGTAAAAAACTGGGATGCAATACTCATCTGACTGAACTATCCAACCTATAAAATGAAAGGTCCAGGTACAGGTCTCTTTGTCCAAAACCAGCACATGAAACAAAACTTATTTGTCCATGTCCAAGAACAAGCTGGGCAGACAAACCTAGTCCACATATCTGGTTTAACATAAAAAAAACGTACTAGTTCCTGTCCCAGTTACATCATATTTGGAGAAGAGATGGATGAAAATAGTTGAGTCCAGGTTGAATAGGGAAAAGAGAGGAGAGAGGAAAGAGAGAGAGACTGATCAGCTATGTAAATTATCTTCTTTATAATTTGGTCAAGCAGGGTCAGGTTCTAAGTGTTTGTGAAAAATCAGTTTCAGATTCAGACAAGCCATGATGTACGAACCCATGTTGAAGCAGGATTTGATTAAGAAGACTTGCATTTACAGTATGCTAGAGTGGCATCTGAGCCGAACATAACTTGGACCCAAAAGTTTGTCAACCTTACAAGAAAAACAACCTTCACATTTACTTCATATAGAAACCAAATTTGATGTTTTACAATTACAAAATTCCATAAGGCAAAGAAAGTAAAAAATGATATGAATCATTTTAGCTTATATCATGACTTCTGCTCTTTCTGAATTGACACAAAAAACAGGGTTCAAATGAATGAAGTGAATTGTTCAATAGAAGAAACCACAAGAACTTCACCCTGACAATGTTATTAGAGTTTGGATGTTTTCAATTTCATTTGATCATCAAGAAACAAATAAAATATAATCACGTGATCAAGAAACTTGAAAGGAAATCAAACACCATCTTTAAGTCTCATCTTGAGGTGCTGACTGATCAAACTCTTGGCTGGCTCTCTTCTAAGCTTCCATTCCAATAAACTTTCCCCCATCACCCACGCATGACTTTATTTTTGTTCTTTTGTCCCATATTTACTAATTAGATTTTAGGTTCATGCAAAAAATATGTACAAAAAAAGAAACCTGCTGGAACATCAAAGCTGCATAATTTGATCTACATGAAAATGAAATACAATCAAGCACTCAATGGTCACCATGATTTGCAAAATAGCGTTGAACTTATTTCAGTGAATGATATTGATAATTCAAATGACTGATTGGATCGTAAATGCGTGCTAATGTGTCTAATGCAGAAGATGATTTGGTGTTTAATGATTACAATTTGGCAATGGGTGATGTGGCAGGGCATACATGGTTGGAGAAACAAGGACATGCACTAGGCAACTGGCAAAACTAAAGATTAGTTCAAAAGTATCAAATATAGGAATAGTAAATGTCAAAGAGGGGGAAGATGATTATGACAAAAATAGAAGAAGACGAATATAAATCAACTGGAGGAGATGAGAACATCAATGTTGATGACAATATGGCGCATCTCGATTATCAACTTGGATTCGTAGAAGTTTGAATATCTTTTATTTTGTTTTAGATAAGAACTTCAATACCATTTTATTAAAAGAATGCTCTATAGATGACTAGACTCATGTAATTTGTTGTTTTGGTGGTAATCATCTTGCATATGTAATGACATAAAACTCATATTTTGATTAAAGTTCTTGTTCTAATGACTAGTATTACCCTTAAAAAGATTTTCATAATTTTTTTTGTGTGTATTGCTTTACTCGATCGAGTGCCTAGTGCCTTGGACAAATAAGGGGCATTGGTGTCTTACAGTGCCTAAAGCTATGGACAACACTAACTCATCTTCAATGCTCAGAACCCATATACCATGTCAAGAGCCTACATCTAAAAAAAAGGTTCCAATAAGTAAGTTATGCAACTGTTTAGACTTTAGATTATCAAAGATATGTTGGAGATTTCATTTAGATAAATGAGACAAAAGATGATCATTTGGCTTATCGTACAACACTAAGTTAACCTTGATGATTGACGGAGAGTCAGCAAGAAAGAGTGCCATTAGTTGCTACTCTAAGCAATATCCACCATCAGATGTCTAAAGCAGCAGAGTTTTTAAAAGTCATGAAATTAATTTATTCCATGAGGAAAAAGAGGTTTATGCATTGCCAGAGTATAGCTCATCATTTAATCCCTCACCATCTAGAATATGCTAATCTACGTAGGTCAGTTCACCCTGTCAGTTGCGTAATGTTGGAAGTTGGAAAATATGAAAAATGGGTCTCCGAATATAAAATTAAGTAGGTTATGATAAGTTCCCAACAGTAATGCTGGAATCCTATACCTTTTGAAGGTTTGAATTACAGAAACAACTTGCAGGTATTGTCAGATCTGATGAGTAAACATCTATACCTTTGCATCAAGAGTAAACATCTATAAAATTTCAACCAGATGAAATTTTAGAATTTACGTATTATAGAATTTGTGCATGTCCAGTAAAAAAAAAGTGGTCAAGACTCAAGGTGTCTTACAGTGCCTAAAGCTATGGACAACACTAACTCATCTTCAATGCTCAGAACCCATATACCATGTCAAGAGCCTACATCTAAAAAAAAGGTTCCAATAAGTAAGTTATGCAACTGTTTAGACTTTAGATTATCAAAGATATGTTGGAGATTTCATTTAGATCAATGAGACAAAAGATGATCATTTGGCTTATCGTACAACACTAAGTTAACCTTGATGATTGACGGAGAGTCAGCAAGAAAGAGTGCCATTAGTTGCTACTCTAAGCAATATCGACCATCAGATGTCTAAAGCAGCAGAGTTTTTAAAAGTCATGAAATTAATTTATTCCATGAGAAAAAAGAGGTTTATGCATTGCCAGAGTATAGCTCATCATTTAATCCCTCACCATCTAGAATATGCTAATCTACGTAGGTCAGTTCACCCTGTCAGTTGCGTAATGTTGGAAGTTGGAAAATATGAAAAATGGGTCTCCGAATATAAAATTAAGTAGGTTATGATAAGTTCCCAACAGTAATGCTGGAATCCTATACCTTTTGAAGGTTTGAATTACAGAAACAACTTGCAGGTATTGTCAGATCTGATGAGTAAACATCTATACCTTTGCATCAAGAGTAAACATCTATAAAATTTCAACCAGATGAAATTTTAGAATTTACGTATTATAGAATTTGTGCATGTCCAGTAAAAAAAAAGTGGTCAAGACTCAAGAGTGAGAAACATCTATACCTTTGCATCAAGATAATTGCCATGATCTGTGGTTCTCCCATCTTTCTGCAAAAGTAAATTTGGCTAACTATAAAATCTTTTCACCAATTTATTAAATGCTTTACGTTTATTATAAAAAATTATATAACTGATGTAACTGAGAAGGAAAATTAGGTACGCATAAGAAAACATAAATATGTACAAGATTCATACTCCCCATAGACTTTCTAAGGTAACATCCTTGCTGGCAAAAGCTGCTAGTTATTGCCATATGCAAAAGAGAGAATATGTTCAGAAACAAAAATAAATTTGACCGCCTATAACCAAGGTTTAAAATTACGTACAAAACTAGTAATGGAACCCAGTCAGGTCAATAGGTCACTGTCAATATGATATGATAATCGATGCTATAAACCTAAATAAATGTATTTTAAGTTCGGTATATGGGAAGTAGTCATACTGCTATTGTACAGACCACATTCTTGGTAAACATGGTATTTATTTTTGTGCCTACAACGACATCAGGTAACTCTACTTTGAGGTCAACCACATTTTTTTGTCATTAATTTCAGTTGAAGCTATTTCTGATGGATAGTAAAACATATTACTTTGTTTCTTAATAACTTATTCTTTACTTTAACTATCATGGCATCTCTGATCTTAATTTATTCATCTCATATACTACAATATGTTTAGAATTTTTTCTTGAATTTAAAGTCATACTTTTGACCTCAAATTCCCTTTTATGCTACACACTAGATATTTTCTTCAGCTATAGCATTATAATTCATAAAGTACATTGTTCTTGTAACTATCATATAATTGTTCATTTTAATTTATGGGACAGTCCGTGGTCATGACAGTTCAGATACTTTTCCTCCATCTAGTCATTCACTTTAGTTCTATAAATAATGCATTTTTCAATCTTTTTGTTGAATAGAAAATACCAACATCCTGAAAGATTTAATGCCTCGGAACTTCTCAACCATATGATTTTATTGTAGATTCATCTCTGCAGAGCTAACAATAGGAGGATTTCAAACAAAACTTTTCTTTGGGAGAAACGAGAAGGGCATTAGGATGAATTTTGCTGATAGTGATACCAATGACAATGACAATAATAAGTTATATGTTCAGTCTTTTACTAAAAAGAGGCTGTGTTCTGTTGACAGCAGTAGCAATAACAATAATGGTAAGTTGGTAACAATGACAACAATCATCAACGTGAATATCTAATGATGATCTAGTGTCCTATAGAGATAGTAAATTAAAAGTGTCGAAGGATCTGATAGTTGATCACTTTGAGAAGAGATCACCTTGGTGGAAACTAAAGGAGCCCTATCACCAGGAATGCTAACTTCTGGAAGATAGCTGAAATCAGAGGCAATAAGGGACATCTTTGGCAGTGCTGAATGTAAAACCTCCAGTAGTTGCTGCATGTTAAAGACTCATGCTATTATCATAAAGAATGTATTTGATTCTAATGGGAAAAGATAAAACACAAAATGATATGTAATGAAGCATATAACTTGTTACAAAATTTAGACTTACCAAGCAACCAGTTGGTATCCAAGATCTTCGAGGTTTTGGAAAAGCTCTAGACAAAATATAACTAGCCGCAGAAACTAACCTGTTTCTGCCAGCAGCATGGTCTTCATCCAAGCCAATAATCTTAACGCATTCGGCAATTAACGAATCTTGTATTGGCTTATAGACTTCTGAGACTTGTGAACTTTCTTGGAAATGAACAACCAATAAATGTTAAATAACTAAAGACACCATATTGCTGTACAATAGTCTACTCCTTAGTCAATGTGTCATTACAAGTTGAGCTTAGCCAGTGTAATCTAGAAAAAGAAAGTATTATACGAACTATCATAAATTAATGCTTGCTGGAAAATACAAGAGGTATTTAATATTTGTAATTCTTCATGGCTTTGGAATAGAAGAAAGTACCAGAACTAAAACATGTCAGCCATAAAGAATTTTTTATTGTTTTAACTTTTAACCATCTCTGAAGAAGAAAAAAATACATGTTTAACAAAATATGCCAACAGAAAAATACTTAAAAAGCAGATATGGCACAAAAAATTGCAAAAAATATTTGTACTAGGAGAAAGCAGAGCATTGTAGTAACTGAACTCGAAGGATTATGTTGGTAATAAGATTTATATTACTTCGAGATTAAATAAAGGTGCCAATATAATGGAAAGAAATGACCTGATAGGTTATTTCTAGATAAAAAAGAACTTGCTTTCATTAAAGTTAAATTTTACAAATAGTGTCTCGTTTGCCATTCTAGTCATAGCTACTCCTTGTATCCAAATAGTATTGTACTTATAAATCTTAATATTTAAATTCAGTGCTTCTCACTATTGCTTATGTAAGGTCCACTATAACCATTCAATTTTAAAAACACAGGATCTCTATTTGGGGTCAGCCACATGGTCCTTCCCCTTCATTAAGGCATCTACAAGTCTCCATTGAATATATACATATAGACAATTCCATCATCCATCAAAATTACACCTAATTCTTCACCAATTAAGATATTCTCATACATTGCTCCTAACCATTCATCACCTCTACCATTCCAATATGTATAAAGCATGGTTGACATTGTAGTTATTAAATGTAGACATAGGATGAGGAGCAACATGATTTTCTTTTGAATATAGGAATAGAAAGAGAAAAAATAAAGGTAATAATTAATAATTTAAGAATTATAAGAAAAAAGATAACTATCAGACTAGCTTTGGCTCAAGGAGCGAACTTCCAAGATTTGAATCTATCCCAATCCTTATTATAGCAAACGACACTCTTATTCTGCACGAAAGGCTTTGATCACACCCATCTCTAGAAAGAATCTCAGACATATGCCCTCGGTTGCGGTAAGCTACAAGGGTTGTACTGCCCAAAATGGTACAGTACGAGTGGTACATATTAGTCCGAGCATGGATAGATACACGGACCACCCTTGCTTCAGGTGGTCTGACTAAAATAGTAAAACAATTAAAAAGCAATGAGCCCCAATCCATTTCAATGTTAAAAAAGAAAAAAAAAGGCAATTAAGGCTCACAGCCCTCTTCTCACATACGATGCTGTGGCCCTCGCAATTGTCTCTTTGCTGCTGCAATATTGCAATGGTGTTGCCTCTTCGCCGCTGTGATTTTGCTACTGCCGCTTCCACTTCGACGCTGCCAATGCACTTCTTCTCCTCTTCCTCTTCTTTCTTCTTCTTCTTCCTTCTTCTTTCTTCTTCCTTTCTCCTTTCTTCCTCCTCTTTTCCTCCACTGCCCCTTCGTCTTTACCCTTTTTTTCTCCTCGTCAATACACCGGTACACACCTATGTACCATGTGTTGATACACCGCTATAGATCGGTACGTACCATTCTGGCATATTGTCGAAACAGGTCCGGTACCCAAAAAGGTAAACCCTAGTGATTAGGCCCAAGTTCTCTTTGCCCTTGGGACCACTTTGCTTTAGAACAACAACCTTCTTCGATGCCAGGTCTTTGCCACTGCCTATTTTTCTCCTTCCCAACGACTAAGCCCAACCTTTTGGGCTTACCCATTTGTTGTGACAAGACTCCATAAGCAAAATGGAAATGAAATTCTTATTAGAAAATCATCTACTATTTCCTCATGTGGGAAAAGAACTCAGTTAATTTATCCATTTCTGATTAATCTCCATGATAATGGTCTACGACTAAGCCTCCTTTTATAGGCCCAAGGATAAGAATAAAAAGGAAAATACAAAAAGAAGAAAAAACTACAATTATATCAATCAAACATATATTATATTCCCTTTGAATAAGTAGTAATTCTGACTTGATTCAAAAAATGATCTTCCTCTTTTGATGATATTTTTGTTTGATAAACTTTCATCTTTATAAGGATGAATTATCAGTCAAGATTTTCAATTTCAATCAAGGAAAAATTGATTTCTTTCATTTTTTTTGTATCTATTTCCTTTTTCTCCTTGTTGAGTAGAAGTTGCCATGTGACAACTTATTACAAAATACAAAATATTCCTAAACTAGTCAGATTTATTTTATTAATAAACTAACTAAATTGTTCCTGCATCACAGGCATCAGGAGCTTAGGCATGTTGGAACTTGGAAGTATGCAACATCTGAGAAAACAATAAAGATGAAAAATATGAAAATTTTGAATACACTTCCCTATGTTAATATAGTGGCATTGTGGTACATGCCGATTAGCACGAAGCATGATTGATATTGTGGAGATTAAAAGAGTGACCTAGGTGCAATAAGGTATGAGGATCTATTTTTGAGCTGCACCTTGATTTTTTAGGCTTACTAATGTATGCCTTATGCACAAACTTGTTTAGCATTTTAAAATGCCTAAAGCCTAAGAGGCATGCCTCTAGAACATTGCACATCTTTTATTAGTTTACCTTTGGGCTTCATTCTTGATTGTGAGATCTAAATGATGCAAGATAATGAATTAGTATTCCATAAGTGGCCTTTAGAATGAATTAGTTTGCCTCTAGAACATTGGACATCTTTTAATAAATGTTGACCTTCTACCACAATAGTTTGTTAAATCTTTGTACCATTAATTTTATGTAACCATTAGTCCATAATCTGTTCGTAATGTTGATGTGGTTGATGTCATTTTTTGTTGATATCAAAAAGTAAACTTTACAATTTAATTGGTCACCCAAGCCCTGCATTTTCCTTGTAACAGGTGACAGATCCAACATTTGCCACATCATCATCCGTCAAACCAAATAACTAGCCACAATTGGGGGAAAAAGCATAATAAAATGAAATATTAAATTCTCATTTTGAAGTTTGAACTTCCTCCTCCTTTTTCCTTCCTCCATTCCTCATAGGCTATAGGCTATAGGCTATATACGTCAAAACTGTTTTCATGACTCAAACCCAAGTCACTCAGGTTACAAAGAAGTAACTTACTATGACTCCCAGGCTCACCCTCAAAAAATTAATTAACTAGATAACCAATGTCACTTGACCTTACAAAGAAAAGAAAATGTTTTTTTAGTGTCATTGCCATTTTGTTAGAAGCTCAGAACTATTCAAAGTTTCAAACAATAAACAAACAATCATAAACTTTTTCTAGCACAACATATAGTATCGTGAAAAATCTTCAAGAACTATAGAAGCATTTCCTCATTAAAAAAACTTACAGTGAAAATATTGCAACTACATATTCATTTAACACAAAATTTAACTCCCCAGATATCTGGTAGTAACTTTGTGTTCCAATAGAAACCACATTACAAACCTGTCTTTCACTTTCTCCAGCCAAACCTCCATCCATGGAGAAACTTGATTTGGGGAATAAACAAGATCATGTGGAAGATTGTCAAGTACCTGTCAGTAGAAGGCAATGATTATGTGGTAGATAGCATCTAGTTCTTCTAGGACAGATGGCTACAGCATGTCAATCATATAGGTTGACAACTTGTTTTATGTCAATATCATTACGCATATATTGCCTAATGCATTATATATACTAAATACAAGGAAACCAGTTATCTAAATTAAACTTGTTCCCAACTTTTTCCCAAGTTTCTAACAATAAGTAATATCATTTGACTGATGCCACTAAACACAGAAACTACAGGTTAGAGAAAATATTTGCATATGGATTAGCAACATCAAGTTTTCAATGCCCTCGAATAATTCTGTGAATTAAATTCTTAAAACAACTACATGAAACAAATTAAATTACATTTCTTATGAAATGTAGAATAAAAAATAAATCAAATTTACCGCAAATCCATTTAATATCTAAACTTCTGAAGTAGATTGACAACAGACTAAAAGACAGAAGTAGTATGGCTTCATGTGATTCTCTACTTGATAGAGTAAAATAGGGTACCTCAAGCATTATAACCCAGCATGGTTCATGGTCTCCATTACCTGTATATGAAAAATTTTAGCAAACGATAAGTTTCTAACTTAATTAACATGTTTAGTGTTTTCTTAAGATTTGCAACATGTCAAACCAGATTATGTAAAGCTCACCAACATAATAAAAAATTGTGACAGACACTAGATACAATTTTATTGAACTGCATAACATGGCACATCATTATGTGCCAACAACATTATAACACATTCAATTAGTCTCACCTCGGTGTGGGGTATGTGTTGCACTTGGTTTACACGAGTAGTTTTGGGAGCATAGTCCACATAGTTATCAAGCTTGAGACATGATAAGAACAATATGGGCCACAGTGGACCTACTGTGCATTTTGGCAAATTTTTGGTCCAACAAGACATACACCAGATATGATGCGAACAATATGATAGGCTGGAGCGCCCTTGGACAGCTGTAGTGTCTTTGGAGACCCTAACACCTGCAGACAGTCATGGCCATCTAATATGGTGCGATGTGCTCGTCACCTAATGAAGATATCACAGATTTAAGTGGCAGAAAATGCACTGTTGGGTGTGGACCATGCTGGGGCACTCATATGGTTATAAAGCTCAGGTAATGATATTCTTTTCAAGGCAAAGAAAATGTTAACTTTCTATAAAAGCATTTTTTGAAATTTAAATGTATACAAGAAATACATATAGAACATCCACATAAAAATATGCATGTGTGAGATAATGAGCACCCAACAATAGCATGAGAATGAGAAACATGCCACAACTTATTCATTTTGATCTACATGGGTTTTCTACATTGAAATCAGGGTTTCAAATTATAGAATCCCAATGTTATTAACTGGACTAATATGGACCTAAATAGGAGTATATCTATTTCATATCTGGTTGGTTGGAGCCAAATTCACTGAACCAAGCACCTTGCTTTCAAATCAAGCACCTCAGTTTTCAATTACATTAATCTGAACTGAACCAAGATTAGTGGCTCTATTTGTGCCTTTCTTATTTGGGTTCTGCAATAAAAAGAATAAAAATTAAGACATGTTTATCTTTATGTCCCACAAGACTAAGCTGACATAGTATTGACGATATGTGGAACTGGCCATTGTGTTACAATGAAGAAATAATGTTGGCTGGACATTTCTCGTCCGTGACTCAGCAACAAAGTTTGCACTGACTTGCACATTCTTTAAAAGAGGTGAAAGACACACTCCTCCCTTCTTCCATAGGTTATGGGAAGCATTGCAGGCAGAAAGAGAGTTGGGAAGCAGGGAGAGATGAGAGACCACACACGCACAAAGAGAGAGAGAGAGAGAGAGAGAGAGAGGAGGAGAGGACAGGTTCTGTTAATGTCATGGTTTATGATATAATCAGTAAACCATATCAGTCTGATAACACTGTTATACCAAAGTACAACAGGATGGCAGAAATGTCAACCTACATTGCACACTGACAAGATGCTTCTTTTTTCATGTCTTCTATTATATTATAAGACAAATCCAAATTAAATGCACATTAGTCACAATAATCTTGAAATAAGCAGTGGTCATCATAAATGGAAAACTGTAATCTAAAGAGTTGAAAATACTGGCAAGACCTAATACCTACCAGGTTGCCAAGATGCCAAATGGCAACAAGAACTTGCCCCAACTGGAAAAAGGATCATGAAAAATCACCAACTTACCCCATCCACTTCTGTCAGTTGCATCACGGCGTTCAACCCTGAATTTTGACAAATGACTCTGAACCTCTCCAACAGTTTGTAACTGTTTTTTGGCAAGTGATTGACTGATTTCGACTGAGCTACAAAAGGAAGATATAGCATTTATCACATGTAAATTTAAGGCATAGAATTAAAAAAACCAAGACGATAGCTTTTTCATCAACTGCAAAGTAGGAAAACCTTGTTATAAAAGGAAATCCTCTTAAGCATTTGATTTAGATATCGCAGAAAGAAATACAATAAAAACCAAGAATCCTGTACCTGACAATCCAAATCTATCACTCAACTTTCAGTACCTGATATGAGTTCCATAAACGTCAACCAACATGGCTATCCTAAACAAAACTATTCCCTATCTCAGTCGAGTCAATTATTGAGAAACAGTGGTGACCATTGGAGGACTAATGAATCCATGTGATAATTGAGAAAAGCTCTTACAGGTAGTGTGAATTTCTAGCAAAGGCAATTTTAAGAATATGACTAGAAGAAAGGATGCTAACAGGAAGATCTATCATAAAATTTGCACCGTGAACTCAACAAACCCTATGCTGCATTTGACCAAAGAGTTGAATATAAATAATCATGTTAGTTTTGTGTCATTTCAAATTTACAAGCTTCACCCAAGACCTGATCAGCTTTGCAAACCTTAAATTGAACGTCGGATGATTCAAGGATATATGGATGTCCAAGTAGAGATTCATATATATGTTATCATTAGACCTATGCTTCCAGGTAGTGATGAATTGAGGGTTAGCTCAGAAATTAACTTAAAGTACATGGAAGACTGTCCCAAGGTCACAACACACTGAGCATGCACTTGCGAGGATAAACTGAACCTCCTTTATCCATTTTATCCAGCATGCTTCATATGTGATTTCTCTCTACCGACACCATATGGTGCATAACCCAATGGCCATTCCCATGACAATCATTTTCTGGTTGTGTCATGTTGGCCCTCCAATTGGGCTTCAGGTTAGGCAACAGTTCAGTAGGTGCCTTGAATACCCTCACTAAAGACAAGAAAGTAGGGTCTAGAACATGACTTCGAGGAGAATAGATGACGTGAACAGAATCAAGAAAAGGGTGCATGGAGTAGTTTTTTTATTGAACTTTGAACACTTGGATCCAGGGGGAAAGAGGTAAACAAATGAGAACAAGTAGGGGAAGAAAAGGAAAAAGAAGAAAAGAAAGAAGAAAGAGGATTCGTCTCAAATCCTTTTGCCATGTTGATTCTAATTGTGCTAATTGTGCTACTGAGTAGTGAGTACCATGTCGAAGCATGATATATGATGCAGGTCAGAGTTCAGCATGAAATATTGATGGTACAAATGGTTCTTAAACCATGGATATCAATTTTGATTACAAAATTGGTTATGTTATGAAGGAAACAGAAAACATGCCACAGGGCACTTGATAGGTGTCATAGACAGATTTTCAACCTACACATCTTTAGTCAAGAGCTTGTTTTAGTCATCTAATCATGCCAGATGTGTACTTTTCATAGACCTGCCAATTTTTGCTTGGTGGTGCATAATATGTTAATTATAAATTACATACTGTGTCAAAAATCAAATGGCATGAGCATTATAAGCAATATATAACAATTGAAGAGAACTCAAATAATGATCCAACCAAAAGACAAAATATAGACGTATTCACCAACATAAAGAGTTCACACTAATGTAATTGCTCATTCTAGCTGTAATAATTTTCCATGCTCAAAAGCATTCAGAAGCAAAAGAATGGACATACACGTATGTCATATTATTGTAAACTTTTGCTGGTGCATTCAACATCATGTAATCCATAATACACTTTGCACATGTTCCTGAACCACCACCAATTTCATAAATCTGAATCAATAGATGACATAATCAGCAAGAGTCAGTAGCAAATAAAATCAATAATTAATTTATCAAAGAAATGAAGTATATGAACTTTTCTCACACTCTTCTTAAAAGAACTAGCAAAAATAATAAGAAATAGAGCAATTGTTTGGTGGAAACACTGCAATATGACACACTAGCCAGCAATGAGTTATCAAGTAAGTTACTATAAAAGAAGAGTTTAAGATGAAAAGTTACTATAAAAGTTATCGAGCAAGTTAGTATAAAAGCTAGGACTAGATGTAAGAGAAGCTAAATGACATGACAGTAACTGGAAAATTTTATCTACCTTTAGAGTATTGGCTGGTACCTTAAATAGAGATATTCACATAAAAAGAGTATGCAGAGGCAGAATCTATTTCCTAAAAGCATTGAAGAGTCAACATGCAAACTTATTTTTCTTCATCGTACGGTAAGATCAATGGGCTGTTGGAAATGGTATTCATAAATTGATGGCATTATACTTGAAGGTCTGATGCCTAACTTGAAATGAAGGATAAAATATTTGCCCATACATCCTAAGATCAAGTCCACAATAAACAGGTCAAAGATAGGAAGCTTTCAGGTTTCAAATAAATCTACTTTTTTTTTTATTAGGTCCACTATGATATAAAACGTCAGCCATTACAATCATAATAAGTTGTGAAATGTTCCTTCGATGAGAGGTGTTCAAAATGTGTTTTTTCTAATTCCCCCACTCGAGCACACAAAAAAGTAAGGAAGGGCACCCTCTCTTCATACATGCACAAGTGCATGCCTGTTTGCTTGACCATGCAAATGTACATGTATGCATCAATCATACCCACATTTACATCCACATCCAATGAAAAAAATTTGAAGATAGATAAAACAGAAAAATATATGCCTAGACATGTAGATGGGCACATGAATCAGACTCATGTTGAATTTTCAACAATCCAACCAAAACAATTTTGCAAATAACATTTTGATATTGAGGGGTACCATGGAGCATAAAAACTAGGTCCTAGCAATTAAAATGCATAAACAGGTCATGCTAATTTAACTAACATGAGAGCAACTTACCATCTAGCTTATCAATTCATCCAACCATCTACACATGATCGTCCTTACGTTTTCTGGTATAGGATCTAAAAGACAGATCCAATGAACATAGTTTTTTCTTGATAATAACTAAAATTTTAGTTTTTTCTTGATAATAACTAAAATTTAACAGTTAACAGCTGTCATTGTTGATAATAACTAAGTTAATGCATTGTATCCAAGACAATATCAGAATCTAATAATTAAATTTTAAATGTGATGCTTTATTTTTTTATTCATGTGTTTTTTAGCTAATCTATCATTCCATTTTTCATAATTCTGAATTTTTTAAAGCTTAGTGAAAATCAGAAATAACATATTATGACCCACAATTCAATTCATGATCTGGTCCAACCTAAGGCCTTTTATAATTAACAATATGATCCCTGTCCTAACAATGTTAATCAAAGATACTGTGATGAAACATTGGCTTGCCTATCTGGCAATTAACTACAACAAACTGCATGTCTGGTAATCTATGTTGCTCAACTTAGGTTCATTTTAAAAAGAAAAGTCATCCACAAACTAAGCAGATCTGTCCATAAATCAAGTAAACTAGAAGAAAAACCCTGTCAATAAAACATATGGAAACAGGTGCATTGACATGTACCGTTAGTGGAATTGAAAGGTTGGCTGTGCGCATAATTGCTTCAGCAATTCCATATGCATACCAAGGCTGCATATAAATAGCCAGGATCAAAAAAAGAAGTTTTTAGATTAGATATATTGTAGTTTACAGAAAAAATTCGATTCATCAATCAAAATTCAAGGTAGATAACAGATCTGACAATATAATATTATAAGTACACTTTATCAGGCACTTCTTTACAAGCTAATTAATGTAATGGCTTATGAAGACTGATTTTTATCCAGCCTATAATAATCCTTCAAACTATTTTATGAACATACTTTTAGATCTGAATTGTGACAGGGAGGACTGCTGGACAATAAGACTGATAATGCAGGGTCTAGGAAGGATCAATGTTTACAATCTTACCCCTACAAGTAGAAAGCATGTTTCCACGGGTTGAACTCTGGTCACCTAAATCTACCAAGACACCAAACTCCATCTGTCATTAAGACATCATTAAGGAAGATAAATTTTGAGAACTAAAATTCAGATGAGTTATGTTTAAAGCCTAGGAATGTCAAGGAGTTGACACAATAAAAACCAAGGTCTGCAATTTCGTACCGTACCGGAGTTTCGACGTTCGCTCGGTACGGTACGAACTGTATACCAACAGTATACCGCTCGATATATATATAACTCGGCGACGTCACCGAAGCGACGTCGCCTCATTTATATATATATAAATTAATATATATATATATATATAATCATATATATATATAATCCGAAAAAGACGACGTCGCGTCGCCTCAGTGACGTC